TTCACCTATATTATATATATTACCCGGAAGAGCTTGTTATTACTTAAAAATGTCATATAATTTACGAAAAATAAGTCATGATAAAATTGAATTTATTTTATCATTTAGAATTTTTAGTCTGAGTAACATTTATAAAAAACTTTATTAGTAAAAATGTAAAAAAAGTTACTTTTGACGTTTTGAAATTTAAATTTGATTTATAATTTCTCATGAGCAATTTTGGGCGAATTTTTTAGATCTCTTTAAGCATATATAATATTTGGCTTAAAAATCTCAAAGTTTATTAGTTTTTTTAATCATTTGAGAAGGAATTACCTGCACCGGGATAACACTATCCCCGTTTAAATTTTTTTAACTAAAAAATTTATCGGATGGATCCGCTGTTTTATTAATTATATGCCATCATTAGATAGATTTTTGTTTATAGGCGGAACAGCACACGAGAAAAATGCTTGTGAAAGAATTGATGGCACTATTAAAAGATTAGCTACTAAGGCAAGTTTACAAAGATTTTACTCACAGAAAATAACAACACCATGTGAATTGTATGAATTCGCTAAAGATATTAATGGCATATATTTTGAATATATTACCCAAAAAAATTATTACAACGAAGAAGTACTATTAAGAGAAAGATTCTCTAAAATTAGACCGAAAGTTGAAACACAGAAAATTCACGCAGTGATTCCGTTCCATCTACATCCATTTAAAGGTAAAATGTAAATTCAATACTCGATGATTACTATAGAGGCAAGTCATTAACGTTGGGTCCAAGATAACTAATATTCGTTCAAACACGATACTACCGAGACATATCATTAATTTTGGGTCAAGATAACAATATTCTTTTAAACTCGATGAAGATTACAAAGGCAAATCATTAACCTTGGTTAGAGATAACTAATATTCGTTCAAACTCGATGCTACGGAGACAAATTTAACGTTGGGTCCAGGTAACAATATTTGTTCTAACTTGTTGAAAATTCGCAGGCAAATCATTAAAGTTGGTTCAAGATAATTAATATTCGATCACAGCCAATGCCCACTTCAGCGAAACTATCGAGATTTTGAAAAGGAAACCACTATACTATCAAAGATATGGGAAGGAAGATAAATTCATTCTTGTGAAATATTATGGAATTCTATATTATTCAGAATAAGGAATCGAATGGGGTAAGTTAAAGAAAAAATATATATTCTAGAAATTTTTAATCGTATTTGATGGTTAAAATAAAATAATTTGGAATTAATGATAAATAATAATAGACTCAATATAAAACTGAATATTTGACACGATAGAAAGAACCCATGATGAATTAGATTTCTAAAAGTATGCATATTCTAAAGTTACAACGGGGCCAACAATATGGGGGGGGGCGAATGAGCTCATTTATGGAGGGCATGTCATATTATTATTTATTTTTAAAAATTATTTTGTTTAATATTTATCAAATTTATAAATAGTCACGCGATTTTATATATCACGTGTAGAACTCGTGATCTCTTTGTCCCCAAAAAGGATTAAAGGGACTAGATTTTATAATTATTATGACTTTGACTTTTTGTTTTTTTTGTAATTATATATTTAGTTGGCGAATAAAATTTGGAGTTGAATATTTATTAATTTTAGTTTTGAGTTGTGTTGGTAAATTGAATGAGTTACTAAATTGCGTTGTATGGGTTGGTTTTTTTTTATTGTATATAATTTTCACAAACATTATTTACGGATATTATAAAATAATTTAATACGATTGATTTTCAATAATTCGATCTGATAATGAATATAAAATTATTCTACAAATAATGTATATTTTCCTTATTCTGCAGACTTAGACGTAGTGAAAGAGAAGATGGTAATTCTAGTTGCCAGAGTAGGGTATACTTTCTTGGTATTCACATTCGTAAAATACGAATCGAATAACGAATTAATTTTTAGGTATAACATTGTTATTTTCACTTACAAGATGAATAATTCTTTAAATAATAAAAATGGAAAGAAATTATTAACTACTGAAGTAGAAATAAATAAATATAAAAGATTTTGTAAATATTGTTTATAAAAAAATTCATATACAAGTTTCTAAGCAATCTATAAGAAAGAAAGGGCTTAATTTCTTTATATTATATTTCTTTTAATTTTATGAATTTCATAATTAATTTAGAAATAATTGACTATTATGAACAATTTATTATATTTTTAACTGCTTTAATATATTTTGTACTTAAGTTTATATATCTTTAACAAATTACAAATTATCTAAATACATCAATTAATCATCATACAATTAATCATATTATCAATTACCTTTAAGATTAATTGATTCTATTACAAATTTTTATAAAATGATAATATTGATGAATTATACGTTTGTATTTTTTCATTAAATATTCTACATTATTATTTTTGATATCATCCGATACTGTGTTAGTTTCGACTTTGGTAGCGGCTGATAGGATGGTATTGTCTCTGGTTTTTAAGGATTTAAAATGAAAAATAGAATTTATAAAGTTATAATTTATTCCCAACTTGTATAAATCAGATTTGACTTCATTGAAAATTAATTAAATTTTATCATTCATTAAAGTTCGATGGAATAGGAAGAACTTTGCAAGGAATTTTTTCAGTATTATAGATAATTATAAAAAAATTAAACATTTTGTTGTTAGATTATTATTACAGGTATCTAGCTTGTTAAATTCATATTTGTTCGAAGTAATTAAGGCACAATATCATCTTTAGGGTTCATCTCTGTCCCATTACAATTACTGACAAAAACCTTCCAGAATTAATTTTAAATATGTATTTTATTTATTATACAACCAATATTGGATCGAAATTTTGTAAATCATTTACTTATTATCCTTCGTTTTATATATTAAATATATTTGTATAAGTATATATATTATATTAGGTATAGTATAGGACAATTATTAGTAACTAGGACTGGGAACAAATATTATAAAGGCACATGATTAACGAATTCTAGAATATTGGTATTAAACAATATTTTATTGTTTTGGTAAAATTGAAATTATTAAAAGAATATAAATAGTGTTATGAAAAATCTTAATTGTATTTTTAAATAAACAAAGAAAGAAAACCATGAAGCATTACTGTTTAAAAATTTTATTAAAACGAGGATTCAAAATTATATAAAAAATTTATGAAGTGAAGATGAAAAATTTGATTTAATTATAAATTTTTTTGTATCAACTAATCAAATAATAAAAATATAGATTTTAAACATTTTATTTAACCCAAAAATATAGCAAAATGAAAGAAATATACAACTATCTATTTGCATAAAATACAGTTCTAAAAATTGATCGGAATTTAATATAAGGATAAATAATTATATGTATTTGTATGTGCTCTATTATTTGTATGTCTTCATTTAATATCCAAAATGAACAGATGAAAATTTTTTTCATATGTAAAAATTTTGCTTCCATAATAACAGATCAGGCAGGTAACCATCAGAAATTTGTTCTCGTTATTATTTTAACCATATAAACCCACACCCTACCCCTCCTAATATGTACAATATGTTATTGTAGACAATAATTTGAAAGAAAAATAAGTAAGGTTAATAATTTATAACGACTATAAATCAATATTTTTTTAAAAAAGCATTTTTATGAATAAAGTGATTAACCAAAATTAAACTTATAAAAATTTAACATAGCCAAAAATCTACAATAAGTGGTTCTAAAGATCTCTAATAAATTTATGGCGGAAACCCCACCTTATAGCGTCCCTCCCCATAAAAAAATCCTAACAGATAGTGGATTAGTTACACTAATTTAATATTGTATGTAATAAGCGTAAGTGGGAGAAAGGAAGAAATAAAAAATAAAGAGTGACATATTGATCTACGAAAAAACCAAATGATTTTATATATTTATCTTTTTTTTTTACTAATATTGGTATTGTGCTTTATATTATTTTTAAACAATATAAATATATCGGTATTGGTCCCACCCATACTAGTAATCCATATTTATTGGTTTATATATATGCATAGAAGAAATAGAATAAGCATGTATTTCAATAAGCAAATCTAAATGATTGACAAAATACTATTTTCTCCAATAAGCAATGAGATTTGGATACTTTTTGAAATTTTACTTTTCAATCGAACTGAACATACCTAACTGCCTTAATAATGGATCCGGGCATGAGCACATTTATGTTATCCCATTCAAAGGCCTGGGTCTCTAAGCCCTTAAGAACTTAGTTTTGCCTTAGTTAGGTTTAATTGAAAAAGCCCTACCAGACACCTTCGATGCTCCAATCCCTCAGGCTCTAAAATCAGGCACTCTTACATTGTTTATACATTCAGGGCACAGTAATAACACTATTCACATGCCGAAGGTATTCCATCTACTTCTTGTTAGCCTCCCTCAATAAACGCCTGAATGGATTTACCCAGGAAAATAGAGAAATTTCTTGCATGGGATTTCTTCTGTTGTCTCAGGGATATACAAATATTTCAAAGGTGAGAAGTGTGATAAATTTCGTCACCTTGAACCAAGATACCCTATTCCGTCCAATAATTTAAACTATGCCACCGATCATTCGTTCCAAAATTATGTTTATTTCAAAGATAAGGTTGCTGATGCTTGCTAGAATAACCAAGAGAGACATACTACATAAAAACTGTTAGCCCTAAGTTAATTACCTATTTGAAATAATAATTATAAAATATCACATTTATTTTTATGGGTTCATATTCATTTTTTGTTGATATATAAGACCATAATAGCAATAACCGGAAATTCCATTGGTATAACTAAATTTAAAATCTTAGCAAAATATTTTTTAAAGAAGTTTACCGAAGGTAAAACTTAAATTATACAATTTCATAAAACAAAAGAGCCATACAATTTTAATTTTGCTAAATTGCGATAAAGTAAAATTTATTCACATATTTTACAAATTTAAATAAAAGTAACTAATTCAAATTTAGCATTTTCAATATTTTTATTCTAAAATTTAGGTGAGAGAAAAATTACGGATAGCTTTGGAAAAGGTGGTATCTCTCGAGGAAGAACTTAACAGAGCCAATCAGGAAGTTATAAAATCATATATTTTTAAATCATCAATTATTTATAATTAATTGGTGTAAATTTCAATATTTTTTTCATTAGAGATTTGCACGGCCAGCCTAACCCTTGATCCTTAAATTTTTTTATTACAGGCCTTGATAACACGATTAACTGGTCGATTTTGCAAAATATTTCATGGGTCAGAATTTGGCTAGTTTTTTAAATCGAAGAATTAAGCTAATTTATATATTTTCCTTCATAACAAATTATTTCGAGCCGGGCAAATATACAATGTTATTTTACGAGATGGACCAGGTAAAAAATACTTGCGGACCTGGCCATAAAACCTTTTTAACGGCCCAACCGCGCCAGCCTCTAATTGTAATATATTTTGTCTGCTTAAATTAAGATAATTGTTTTTATTTTTTAAGGGTTAGGTAATTTAAAATATATTAATTTAATCGATAAGACATTTTTAATTCCAAATCTCTAATATAAATTCATGCCTACTTTTATAATGGGTTATTTTGAGTTTTATAGGCGCGGCATTTTAAAGGTTAATCTGATTTAGCCGATATCTAGTTGATATCAACCAATGAAATTTTTAATAATTATATTATGGGGAAAGGATTAAAGGAAATATAATAAACCATATATACATCAAAAAATAAATATACATAAATAATTGGGGGCTATTCCGATTTAAAAAATATATATTTAAAAAAAATATTTCCGTATTTCGGTATTAATATTGTTTTACTAATAAAAATTTTACACCGATCGGCTCCACCAATTTATCATATCGGCTGATAATCTATTGCTTAGAAATACGAATGATACGGCCAATCCGATATTAAAAAGGGGTTATGATTTTATGGACAGTAAATTTAAGAATGGGTATTATTTTTATTATCAAAAATATAAACAATTTAGGCAATATTTATAAAATATTGAACAATAAAAAACAACAAAGTCAGTAGTTGTTTAGTATTAATACATATCTTTTTATTATAAGCCAAGTATATTATATGAAAATTAACATATCAAAAATGAGTTGCATTATGGAATCACAAATTTTATTACACTGAATCTAAAAATGGAAAAATATCAATTGAAACTTACATGTTACTGTAAACAACCCTTTTTAAGTATTTATACAAATATTTATTTATTATAAGTTCAAGTTATCAAGTATATTTTGTTAAAATTAACATATCAAATATATAAAAAAATTAGAACAAATAAAATATCAAGAGTGAGATCCATTATGGAATTGTAGTTTGTATTGTGCATTTGTGTCAAGCAAATCTAAAAAATAGAAAATATTTATGTTAAATACTAGGAAAAAATTAGAGCTGTGCCGATATTAAATATCGATCCTTTTACTAAAAATGCAATTCTTAAAACTTTTGAGTAATGAAATTATGAATTATTATTACATCATATTTATTATTTTTTTAAAAAATATTTAAAAAAATAAAAAATTTTTCGAGTTTCAATAAGGTTCTATATTACATTAATAATATTTTCTAAATAATTTTTTTTTAAACAATGCAAATTTTATTTATTTTTTTAAATAGATTTTAAAAGTTTTTTTATAAAAATTTATTTTTAATTTTTTTAAAAAATAACACCAATTTTATAATTTATACTTTAAATAAAAGAATTATTTTAAATATGGTTTCTGAATTATGGTTTTGATGAAGATAAAGAGAATTTTGCAAAATGCGTTATCTGCGGAATTCTAATTTCACGGGGAGGAATAATGAAAAATTCATTTAATTCAACAAATATTCGGAAACATTTAAAGCGATTCCATCAAACGGAATTCGAAGAGCTAATACAAAAATAACGAGAAATATTAGAAAAAACAAATCGAAAGTCAGCCAACAATATCAGCCATTCTTAATAAAACTAATATTTGGAAATATTCTGATCCTTTGCCTGAAAATCTAGAGGCTCTTATATTTATTTAAAAAAATCTAATATATTATAATTTTATATGTCAAATATTACAATTTTATAAACCAACATAAAATGGATATATTATTATATTTATTTTATCTATTATAATATAATTTTTTTATAATTATTGTTGAAATAAAAAAATTAAATTAAATGCATAATTCTTTTGCATAAAAAATATTGATTTCTTAATTACATATGGTTCAAAGAGGGGTGGTGAAAAATCAATATAAATATCGGATCGGGTTTTAACTAATATCGGATCGGATCGGTGAAAAATATGTGGATCGGCACAGCCCTAGAAAAATAGACCAGGAATTCTAAACTGTAAAATGATAAAAGAGCTTAAATAATTTTTTGACTACATAATAGGTAGTTATTTATAAACCTCATCTTTTTGTTGACACTACTAGATGATTTGATTTTAGAAGTATTTACTGTTGTCATCGAAAGATATCCCTTATTTAAAAATTTTTATTATAATTCTTGCATGTTTTTTCTCTCTCAAAAAGATACATCGACTGAAGGAAATAAAACGTGACACTAATGGTCATGACAAATTATCGGTTATGACTTCACCCGATGGCACCATTTCTATAGTCAATTCCGATTATTCCATTTTCGGGAATAATGTTTTATCGAGCGAATGCGACACTCCTACACCGAAAAACTTTTCTGAGCCAAGCACCCCCGTTTATAATAAAGTATAAAATGTAGTTGTATATAACGGTTTATAAAGAATATTTATTTTTTCGAATGCATATATGTTTTATATTATCTATATGATTTATTTGAATCCTATATTTTACAGGAAACTCAATTAGATAGAGATATTCGCGACGAAGAAGAAGTAAAAACTTTGAAAGAACAAAGCGCTATATTCCAACGAGAATTGAGAGAAGTTTTATGGCTATTATAAATGTTTTATAAATTTTATTTTTCAAAAAATAATTATTTATCTTATTCTATAAATATCACATGATTTAAAGGTTTTAATCTTAGTTTACTCTCCTTCCCTAAATAAATCATTCTTAATTATGGGCGCCCATGGAATAGAATTTTATTATGGCATTCGCCATAAAATCTGTCCCCTTCTCATTTCCACTAGGGTAATCACATTCATACTCTCATTTGCAGAGATCTGCCCAACTGACCATTACAACTAATATTATTTCAAAAAAGAACCGGGCTTAAAAATAAAAAAACAACTCCAAGCTGGACCTATAAATATCGTTTTTTTAGTATATCAGGACTGGTCGATTAAAAAATGATATAAATTAATCAATTGAAAAATTTTATAATTTATCGTTTAACATTAATTTGCTTCTAGGGTTAGCAAAAATCATGATTTTTTTGATAAAAATAAAGAAATCTATTAATTTAATTAAATCAGAATTTTTTGATTTATATCAAATTTTATAATAAAATGATAATATATTTTTAAAAATATCCTGGAGAAAAATAACTCATAAAGGGAAGTGATGGAACTGGCTTTCATTTTATTACGTTATATCTTTTTCCCTGAAATATTTATTAACAAACCATTGTTAAATTAATTAGCAATATTTAATTAACAATTTTATCAATATTTAATTTTTTAAAAATCAGCTTTTCTGCTGAGAGCGATTGGTCTAATTTTTTTCGAAAAAGTCCACCAAATTCAGCCTAAAATTATGATTAAATAAGTCCGGTCCTGTCTGTGCGATTTGTCAGATTTTTTAAAAAAAATTGCAAAATGAGTTGTTAAAAAAATACAATTACTTTGATAGGCTAAATTTTAAAAATTATAGGTGGAATGTATTTGCCATAAGCAAAGTTTATTGTGTCACATGAATGCTAAATAATAGCTTCTATTAATAATATCAATGTTTATATAATGTAAAATAATTAAAGCTCTTGTTGAATTTTAAAAATTATGACAAAATAAAGGAATTTTAAATTTGAAAGTATAATTTTTAAAAAATTATAAAGATCGTTTAAATGTTGTATCTTAAAATAGATTTGAAATTTTGAAAAAAATCAAATTCTGTCTAATATGAAAATCAATATCTGAAAAATTTACCCTGTCATAAGTTTTACTTCTGGCAGGCGAACTCGGACAGATCTTTACAGAGCACTATTACTTATACACTCCACTAGTGTTGTTAAACTGCTCGTTGAGGCGATTTTAAAAACGGCTTAGGAAAATATTGCCTACGCCTCTAGATTTTGCTATAGATGTCTAGACATTTGTAACAACTATGAGCAAAATCTTCAGGCTTGCGTAATATTTTTATTAATAAAATATTGAGTTAGCCGTTTATAAAATCGACATAAAAATGCAGTTATGAACTGGGATGAAAGAATAGAACAACCTTATCTATTAGCAGTAATAGCAATGTCTTACCCATCTACACATGTTGTGATCTATTGCCTCCCTTCAAAAGGTTTTTAAACCTGAACCTCTTAAATTTTAATAATGAACTTAATTAATAAGTTCGATACTCCGGTTAATACATCAGAGCCAGACTTATTTTTTCAAATTCGCTCCAGGCCTATTTATATATAAATAACGGTATGATTTAATTTTTATTTCGTTAAAAAAATAATACCGGGGGTGAACCTTTTTAAAAAGATTAATTTATACATAAAGATGTACATTTTTTTAAAAATTTTATCACTACAAACCCATATTTATAGAAATGAACCTCTATTTTATTTTTATTACCTAGAAAATTTATAAATGATTAAAGTTATAAATAATTATATGATATTTTTATTATTCTCTAATTAAAATGTTAGTTATTTGCTTAAAGTCGTGATTTATATAATAGAAAAATTGATTTTTATAAAATAAATCACAATTTTTGCCCACCCAGGGAGCATAGCACATTATCGGGGTTCTCCATTTCAACTTCTTCTAACATTTGGTCTATAATAAAATGAAATTTGTCAGGTAGTCTTATGAATCTTTTTTTTCGTTAGCTCTCATATTTTCATTATTCTTGTTCATTTAATAATATAATAATTTTTATATTAGTTAATGTGAATCAGGAACGTTGTGTTATCTTAAAGCGCTAATTGTTGCTTTTTGTCCATCCATGCCTATAGACCCTGAAACTATATTGGCTTGCCAATGATTTATTTTATGGTCATTCAAACTTTATTTCGACAATTATTTCTATCTTTTTCACTTACATATTTCAAAACAAGTATTTCTAAGCCCATGCCATCATAACTATCCTTTATTAATTTCTATCTTTTCATTTTTATCCATTCTCCCTTATTCAATACAGAGCTATTCTCCTTTTCTCTGCACCTTAATCACATCAAGCGATCATCCCTACATCCATACTCATTTACGTGCTTTTTACTATCAAATCTACGTAACAGCTAGTTATATTAAATTATCAAATAGAAATTCCTAATATAATCAAAATAATTTCGGATTTAGAATAAATATATTCAAAAAATATTTTAAAATTTTCTCATTAATTTTCCTCAAAGTCATTGGCACAAAAACACGATCAAGAAGAAAGGATAACCACTCTAGAAAAAAGATACCTAAATGCGCAACGAGAATTGACCCATTCCAAAGAAACAACAGAAAAACTAAAGGCCGAGTTAATAAACAATCAAGCTTCATTGAAACAAGTATAAAAATATTTAGTTATTGAGCACAAAATTACTAATATTATTTGAATCCCATTACTTCTATAATCTATTTTGTAATCTTGGGTCACAATATAATTCTTAGACCGAAGATCAACTCAAAGCTTTTAAGGAAAAATTAGAAATATCCGAAGATAGATTGTCACAATTTATTCTTAAAGCCGAAGCCTTACCCACAATGGAAGCAGAATTGGCTCAAAGATTGGAAGCACTTTCCAAAGTACTGATATTCTTTTAAAATAATTATGTATTCGAGAATATATTTTTTTTATTTAAGATATATTTTAACTATAAATATATATCACTTTTAGGCTCAAGAAAAACAGGGTACATCTGAGGATAGAATTAAACGACTAGAAACACAATTAGAAGAAACGAAAATGGAACTACAGCGAGTTACATATATTTTATGATTAATGTTTAAAAGGCCAACTTTTTTTTCTAACTGGATTAACATACCATCTAAGTGCTCTTAATGACAATCCTCATTAGTATTTTGACCAGGGTATCTAATTTATCCAATATAATATTGTATTGTTGCTTAAAGGGAAGACAACGCGAGAAAATGAATGAAGAACACAACCAACGGCTATCGGAAACGGTAGATAAACTTCTCTCAGAATCCAACGAGAGATTGCAATCACAACTCAAGGAGCGCATGAATTCGCTCGAGGAGAAAAACAACCTTTCACATGAACTCGATAAGTACAAACGTGTGGTCGAGGATATGGAGAGGGAAAAAGTGTGTATTACACCATATTTTATTTTTCCCACTCGTATTTCAATTCGTTAAATATTACTACCTAATGGAATTTTAAAAAATGAATTTTAAAAAATTCCCTTAATAATAAATTGATGTTTATTATGTGATCTATAGTTTAGAACAGTACAATAAATGAACTTTTTATAAAATTTAACTTTTTTATCAAAAAGCGCAAGATGATCGAGGAAATGGCTAAGATAAGATCCGAATATGAGATATTCAATGCTGTCGGTGATAAAAATTTACTCATGCACCCTTATTACCATTTCCCTAACTCATCTTCTAACAATAACGAGTAAAATTATTAAATTCTTTAAAAAATAATTTTTAGATGTAAGCGGATTACTCTTAACTTAATAAATTTTAAATATATAAATATTGTTAAAATTTCTAGAGTGTTATATCAACTGAATCACGATGAAGGCATCAACACATCAACGCACATCTTGAGACGCCCATACAATATTCTTAAACAATGTGCTCTATACATTGGGGATAAAGATCAAGTACAAATCACACTTTAATCGATAATCATTTTATTTATTACGACATCAATTTGAACTAGAAAGTCGCGATTTTTTAAAAAACTTGACCCTCGTTGTTTTATTTTAGTTAGCATTAGCATACGCAAATTTAAAGATCATAGTTAAATAAATAATTTATAACTTACACCGTGTCCACGTGGCTTTGTAAAAAACTATATAGTAACTCAAGTGTTTTACTTTTTCTTGCTTATTCGCAATGAGTTTTGTATGATTGAAATGTGAGAACTTTTAAGATTAAGTATTAGAATAATTCATACCAATTTATGTACCTTTATCAAAATTATTTATCTTTTTTCAATTTTTATTTTGAATTCATTTATAGGATTAATTAAACTGCTTTCAAAATTAATTTTAAACTAATTTTTTCCTAACCTATTAATGATTAACTTTACATATATGGTACAATTGTTATTATTTTTTTCACATATTATTATTTTGAGTTGAAATATTTAAAATATTGCCTTTTTCATGGCTTATATTTCTACAATAATCGTCAATTTTGGACGTGCTACATGTTCTAGACTTCCACATTGACAGAATTTATTTATTTTTAATACAATTATAAATTAAAATTTAATTTTATGCCCATTATATTATCTAGTCTCGAATTTAAACAAAGGATTTTTAATGTATCATATATCTGCAAAATTGTCCAAATAGCAGTATAAAATGTTCCATTTTTCTAAAATTTTTTACAATAATAAAATTGATATGTAATATATTTTTTTAAATGAATGAATAAAAACTATTATTTCATCATATATTTGATAAATATTTTCTTCTAGAAAATTTATACGGTAGACAAAGAATATCTCTCGAGATGTGTAGATCTAATTTTATCTCCATCCTCGTCCTGTTTTTTGTTTCAGTTTATATCATTTATGATATATTTTTTTTCTTCTTCCTATAAAAGTTTTAATAAATTTTTTAAAAGCTTTTTTGAATATTTGAAATTGATACAATTAAATCCTTTAAATGTTTTATATAACAAGGCCTTGCCTCATTCATTAAACACAAGAGAATGCAACGATGGGGTTATAACTGATCGAGTCAATGACGCCTTTTTAGCTTTAGGAGACGCCGCTCTTTCATTTCAAGAAAGTAGAAAATCTATTTATTCTGCTATGGAGATTCTCTCTAGTAGCCCAAGACCTTCGTTTAACATACGTCAGGGTAAATATTTTAGTTCTCTAATCCTTACTTTATCTCTTGCTTAATTTATTTTTATCATTTTTTTGACGTTTTAAAATGGTTCTTATATTCTTATTTTTCCTCATGTTCTCTATGATTAATTAGTATCTTTATAATACAATTTAATTTATCCTTCTGGCATAAGCTGTAAAATTAGTTAAAATTCATTATTATATTATTAAAATTTTTCGAACACATTTACTTATTAACGTAATAATTTTTAAAAGTTGTAATTATATTTAGATAATCTTGACGGAAATATACATGCCGTACCCTTTTCACCATCCTCAGATCCACGGTCTTTAGCTATTATTCTCCAAGAACAACTTGATGCAATAAACAATGAAATCAGGTGCGTATTTGATTCACATGTTAAATAGCTTTAATTAAAAAAAATTGTATTCATGAAAATATGACGGATCTAATTTTATAACGATTTTATATTGAATATCATTTTTTCCTAACAATTTTAAAAATTCTACTCAATATACTTGGGGCATAATTTAATCATGTAACACCTCTTTTTTAACCTATTAATTATATTATCCTCAAGTTTAAAAACACATCAAGCCAGAAACTTTAGGGATGTTATAGAAAACAGATATAAAAGATATACTGATTTTAATTAGGGACTCGGGCCTATTTCTTTTTGCATTCCTGATCAGTTTCAGCCTAAAAAATGTTCTATTCCAGTTTTGTGAAAGTTCAGGAATGTTCCTGAAAAATATTCTTGTTATATTATTACCCAGCACATTTCTCCATTAATCATTATTAATTTAATTATTACATCTAAGTTATTATTTATACTTTATTATTTTCTCTAAACGATTATATTTTGGGACTTTAATAATAAAAACGTGAATGTATAGAAACACACTTGACAGTCACTTGTATGACATTAACATGTGCAATTATAGAATCGATTTATTAATATTATCCACTGCGATTTTTAAGTTTAAAAGAATATTTTATTATACCAGCCGCTCATTGCACCCAGGTGAGCATTGAAAGGCTATTCATGCTAAGTTATACTAATACGTATAAGTGTAAATTTATACTTTTGGATAATATATAACTTAGATGTAATAATTTTTAAATATATGATTGAAAAATCATCAATTTCTTAAAATGAGAATATTGCTTGAGCAAAACATTGGAAGCTATATTTTTCGTCCCATCAATCTAATCCAACTTGTTCCAGGTTCCTAATTGCAAGTCAAGGATAAAAATATCCCCCTTTTAGCCTTTTTTTTACCCCTCAAATTATATTGATTAATGCTCAAATATGATATTCTAAAAAAATCAGCCGAAAAAAATAATCCTAAATAGAAAATCTAGCCTGGTGCATATCTGCACCGTTAACCAGATTAAAAAAGATAAAAATTATGTATAATACTAAAAGATCAAAAAACAACAAAAATCTTTATTCTTTTTTTGTAATTTATAATAAAAACAAGAAAATGTTTATATATTATGAAAATTCTTGAAACATTTAATATGAAGTGCGATTTGACATGTTTGACACATATATCTTGAGTGCTTATGGCAATATCTGCATATTCGTCTTTTTCTATCTATAATTTTGGATAAATATTGTCCAGTTTTCACTCTGTAATGCAAACTGGCTGGCGTGCCTTGTACTTAAATTTTTTACAAATTTTACTGGTGTTCGAAGGAGGTAGTTAGTAACTTCTCGTCTAAATGTAAACAAACTCTTCTTGTCATCACGATTCACGAATTTCTAAATTTTCCACGAATTTACCAAAGCATCAATAAAATTGGTTAATATTGGCTACCACCATTTTTTTCCTCTTATTTTTATTCTATATGTAGATATGAGATATCACACAGATCAACTCCACCCATGTGTTTGTTATAAGCAAATTTTTATTTTAGAAGATATTTTCTTGGAATACCTTGAAACATTAGAAACCAAAGAGATAGTGTGGCATGTCGATGCAACGGTTACCACCGAATTATCATTCCAACGAACTACAAATATTTCGTTTAATTTTTTGTACCTATAATCATAATATCCTCTTTCTTTTTTTTGCTAAAACCTTTATAGATTCAACTGGGCAATGAATGCTCTATTCTATTGTCCCTCACAGTTCCAGTTGTAAAATATCCCATTTGTTTTAAGTATGACAAAAGTTTAAATGAGGGAAAGAAATTATCAAAATATATTTTATGATAATTTAGTTTTTATAAATACTTTTAATAATTTTATGATTACATTTCCACCTAATCCATATTCATATTTATTTTCGATTTTTCCTTGATATATATCAAATGAGAATACGTAACCGTCGGGAGAGGCCAATATCCAAGATTTGTATTCGAATCTAATTGGTTTTCCTTTTATGAACATTTTGCAAGAATGTCTTTCTCGATATGGTATCATCTGTTCATCTATTGATAAATTATGTTTGAAAATTCCGAATTGTTTTATTCAATATATTAATGCAAGGCCTAACTTTATAAATCTATCATGTTTATATATTTTATTGTCTGCCAAATGAATATTATATTTTGAAATTGTAATTGAGAAATATCGCTATAATTAGACCTAGTGTTGTTAAACGGCTCGTTTTGGGCCGATTTTTTAAAACGGCTAACTCAATATTTTAGCCAGAAAAGTATTGCCTAAGCCTCAAGATTTCGATAATATATGTCTAGACCTTGTTCCTTCTTTACTTTGTTCTACAATTAAGGAATATAAGTCTTCGTCGAAAATTAAAGAAAATATATCTTATGGACTTTTACCTTGCAAATCAATCATCCTCTTTTTCCCTATTGAAAGGGCTTGAAGAATATTTTGCATCTGTTTTTCTCCATTTTAAATTGTGAGAAATTCGAGAATAGCTTCTTGTAGAAGATAGTTCTGGAAGGTCGTCATCAACTGAATTATGAATTTCCAATTCTCCAGCTGTATCTTGAAGGCATAACTTCATAGTCATTTTCGTCGAAATTTTCTTCATCACTAATTGCAGAGGGGTTTGGCGGAATTATAACTATATCTCTTTCTTCATTTGGTTCCTCTTCAAAAAGTTGAGCAAGCGCTTGTTCATTTGTTAGAAAACGATTTTATTAAAAATTAAATATTTAGAAAAATTATTTTCGTAGGATCTTGATTTTTAATTAGTCATCTATTATTTTGATAATTATAATTTTGATTGAATTGACAAAACAGGTGCATAACAAAAAAAAATAAATTTAAAATAAAATAAAATGTTCAGCAAGGAATATGTTACAAATAATTTAAAATTTTTATGAATAATTTTAAATATTTATTAACCAAATATTTGGAATAATTTCATATAATTTGATCGAGATACAGAATTATAAAAGGAACAATATATTATTCGATTTAAATCTCAGGGGACTATTTTTTTTTATTATTTTCAAAGGACCTTTTTTGGGTATAAAATTTTTTTTTCAAATTTTCAAGGGAGCCATCCCCCTCCCATTAGTGGCGGTTCTGGTTTTAAGTATAATATAAAGAATTATAATTCATTATGTTAAATTTGATTTGTTTGAATTTTTTAAAAAATTTATACTGCTAGATTGTTAACGGTGCATATATGCACCAGTCAACTTTTTGTGGTTACCTATTAAAATTTTAATTATTTAAAAATTCAAAAAGGATTGATAAATATTGATATATCTATAAAGAAAATATGCTCACTAGTTTTCATCGAAATAATTTCATAATATGCTCGTAGTGTTGTTAAACGGCTCGTTTTGAGCCGATTTTTAAAAACGACTAACTCAGTTTTTTATTCAGAAAAATATTACGCAAGCCTGAAAATTTTGCTCATAGAAGGAGCAAAGGTTTAGGCATATAGTATCAAGATTTCGAGGCTTAGTTAATATTTTTCTGGCGAAAATATTGAGTTAGCCGTTTTTAAAAATAGGCTCAAAACGAGCCGTTTAACAATATTACTCGTGAGATCACTTAGAAAATTTTGCATTTTAGACCTTTTTTTCATATTTTTTTTACAGTTTTGAAGTAAAATGTCTGAACTAGATAAAAACCTTATTTATTATTTTTTAAAATAAAAACTACTATATTTAAAAATGGTATATAGGAGGTGGTGCATATATGCATCGTACCAGTAACGGGTTAAAATATTAAAATTAAACAGAAACGCAAAATGTGATAAAGTGAATCACCCCACCTATCTATATAAGACATTATTTTATTTTGATGTTTATAGATTGATTCAAGAGGAAAAGCAGTATTCCGATTTAAGAGCTGAAGATTTGGAAAGTAAAATGATATACGAAATTATTAGCACAGATCGGCAAAATATATCACCTTCACATGATCACATATTACTCTCCTCATCCTCTTCGCCCCCTATCGGAAGCTCTCCTGGACTTAATATCCAAGTAGTATTTAGCATTTTTTTTTGTTCAAATTTTTTTTTTTATTTACTCACATTTAAAATTTTTCCTAACTTATATTATGAATAAAATTTAAACGATATTAGCAAATTTTGAAATTTAGTATAATTATACAGTTAACCCACTCTATAGTGTGTATCGAAACTATTAGGAAATATTTTCAAAAATTAAAGTGTTATAAATGGATTGGATTAGTACACTGTATCAGAGTTGTAACAAGATAGTTTTAAATGTATCTAGGAACTGACCAGGGTTGGGCAAATTTTCAGAAAATTGTATTCGGATACAGATACTTTATAAAATTTTGTATTTAAGATACAAGATACTAGATACTTTAGAAAAATTTCAATAAGATATAAGATAAAAAATACTTGTATTTTTTTTAAAAAAAAGTATCTAAGATACAAGATACTTTTTAAAAAAACTTTAAATAGTCAAAATCAAAATGTATAAAGCTTTATTTCTTATCTATAATATAAATTTATAAAAAAATATTTAAAATAAATTGTAGAAAATAACAAATTTACTATAAAAGATAATGCGATATTCTATTTAATAATTATATAATTAGTAAATAATAATAAATCAGCATCATATATCAGCATTATTTTTTAATATTATTAATTTTACAAATGATTTATCGTTCAATCTTTGACGATTTGGTCTATTAACAATATTAGCAAGGCTAAATAATCTTTCAACGGGGCTGAGGAGGGTAATATTGTGTTATATTTAATAAATATTTCTTTTATATATTTATAACTATTTAACATATTTATACTCCGCCTGTCATCTTTCATATAATTTAGGACCTCTATTTCAATATCATTTATTGAATTATTAGAATTGGGTGTGGTACTTTTAAGGCAAAAGTAATCATCATCTTCATTAATTGAAGATTTTGTTGAAGTATTAATTTCAATATTATTTTTAAAAACAATTAAAACTTCATGTAATAACAAATCCTGAAGGTATTTTTTTTCTTTTTCACCATCAATCCAACGATTTTTAAAATAGGGATGAGAAATAGTTGCCAAAAATGCACTTTTAAAATTGTTATCAAGATCATATATATTTTTAAATCTTTTATTTAAATAATTTTCTATGGCAACAGCTAATGGTTTGCAAAATTGTAGATTGGTTTGAATTAAATGTAATTTTTTTTAACGACATTTAAAATTGGAGCTTATTCTCCATAATAGCAGTTGATTTCACTCTGTATTTTGTCAATCGCTATAGCCAATGGGGCCATTATATTGCAATATTCTTCTAAATATTGAATTTCAATATCTCTTAATTTAGGAAATTCTAATTTTTGACATAATTTAAGAAGTTCGCCTTTAAATTTTAATAAACTATGAAGACTATCATACAAACTATTCCATCCAGTGCAACAAGGTGTAACTAATTGTTTTCCTAAAACTGCTTTGATAAGTTCTGCAGTTTTAGGCCTATTATTTGCATTCCATAGCTTAGTACATTTAGCTATTGCAGGATGATGAATTTTAGAAATGTTAGGAGAATCATAGCTCTCTCGACATCTGTTGTGGCAATTAGACTTATCGTATGGCACAAACAACGATTGTGTTGAGGCAATGTTATTGAGGCTTCTTTACACCCTTAAATAAACAAATAAATAATTTTATTTGAATAAATTTTTTTACTAAATTCACAGTATCATAATAAATTTTAAAGAAGTATTAAATAATACTTAATGATTTCGAATTCTATACATTCATCATCATTGATGTCATAGTCATTCTCTACAGCTTCCATAGAATATCCAAACTTCTTGAAAGCTTTCTTAAAGTTAGAGCCGTTATCTGTAACAGTTGCTATAACTTTTTCGTCAATACCAAAGTCACGATGAATTTCTTTATTATGACCATCTTGAAGTACTTCAAAAAATTTGCCATTAAGTATGCTTAGTTTAAATTTATTGTTATAATTTTCGGTTGAAGAATCATCTGAAGACGAAGATAAACATATTATTTTATTTTCTTCTTCCATAATTTAAAATAGACAGATATAAAACGATTCAAATATGGTAGTTCTAATTGTTAGCAAATTGCTATATGACGACCAACATCATATATCAAAAATTATCTTAAAATATCTAAATTTTGACTAAATTTTTCATTTAAATCTTAAAACAATATCATTTTAAATTTTAATACTATTTAAATTAACCAATATAAATTTTTTTTAAATTATCTGTATCTTTTTGAATACAAAGTTGGTTAAGATACAAATACTTTTAAATAATATGTATCTTAGATACTGGATACAAGATACTTTACAAAATTAGATACAAATATCCGCGATACTGCCCAACCCTGGAACTGACATTGTCTAAAATAAATCTAGATACAGATACAATCTTACAAATGTAAAGATACATATTTATTATTTTCAAAAACATGATTGATTTTTAGTTATTTGCAAATTTGATATTAAAAAAATGTAAGTGTATCGCCGCTAATGGCTATACACTTTATTTAAATTTTAAATTATTTCGAGTATATCTTTTATTTTAAAACCAAAAGTCAATTTCAAATCATGAATATTATAATGAATACACTTTTCATTGTAAAATTATTCCATAAAAATTAATGTCTCATCTACATACAAAATATACAATGATAATAATTGTTAGATTTTAATAATACATTTACATGCAAAATATATAATTATATGATTATATAATTGTTAAATTTTAGTAATAAAACATGGGTCTTTTTCTATATGAAGAAGAGGACGAGGAGTCTAGTTTTAAACTTCTTTATTTTCCATATGCTTTTTTAATCTTTATTATAAGAGTTCTATGTTTTCTCTTAAAATGATAAATATTACAATTGTTAAGTATATTATACAATGTTGGAATTTGTGTATTTGTTGCTTTTATTTTGAAAGATTATTTTTATTTTAAAAAATTTATAAATTGGTTAAGGAAATTCAATATTTAACCCGCTAATGCTGGATCGATTATTTCTTCTGTTTCTTCATCATAACTAGTAATGTTGATCTTCTAAAAATTAGAATATATATATTCAATTTAATATAAAAATTCACCATGTTGTTGTTATCCATTGCTTAAAATTTGTCTGGTATGTTTTTATTGAAATAAACTAGGACATAATATTAAAATTAAATTCAAATATTTATAATATAAAAAACGTAAATTAAAATTATATCAAAATATATAGATATAGATGCAGCATTTTTATGCCCAGATACTTAAATAATTGCACAGTATATGCGTAACGTATTATAACTCACTAACAAATAAGTCACGTTTTCACGATTATTCAGGAATAATAAGAATATGAATACTTAATGACTATCATTAATACGATTTTATGTATTTATTAGCTATCTACTTTAACTAATCAATCTTCCCTTCAACACCGTTGCAATAGAACACTTAAAGCTAGAATACTTAAACCAGAAATTTCGGTAATAATTTTACCTTATTATTACAATTAATATCGCTATAATTTCCATTTTATTTTTAAAAAGTAATATAATCAAAATTGTCACCCCGAAATTCCAAAATATTATGGGCCATTTTATTTGAAAAAAATTATTTTGGGTGACCCTTTTTAAAATAAATGAAACTTGGCATTATTTTGTATATTTAATAAATTTGAAATCGTAGAGCGCAAAAATGCATGGACTTAAAATCGAAAATCGTGCTAATAATTATTTCATTAAATCTCATTTTTTATGCTAGCCACAAATTAGATATAATTTTATAGCCCATAAAATTCTTCTATCTTCAGCGTTTTCTTATTTACGGTAAAATGAGAAGGGAATTTTTTAGGTGCTGAAACTTGCTAGGAATTATTATAACTTATTAACTGTTTAATTTTTATTATAGTATAATAAAAACCAATAACAACTTTTAATTTTTTATTATTTTTTAAATAAAAATATCTAGTATTTATCACTCTTTATTTAAATAATTGTAATGTAAATTTTTTGATATACTCTTATATACCTATCCCTACTGGATTCAAACAAATTCCAATATCGAACCTATTTTTTCAGGTCCAATTTAATTTTTAAAATGTATTGTCCGACCAATCCGATTAAACATTTTCCTCAAGGTCGGAGTCCAAGCTGTAAGTCAGTTTCAACCGAAAATAGAATCTACATAGTCCCACTCGTGCTATCGAGAGTTAAAGGCATATATCTTTACTATAAAATTTAAATTTTTGCAAAATTTAATATAAATGTTAACAAAATTCGGATCATTAATAACCATTATGCCAAGTTGGTTTATGAGAGTCCTCCATAAATCTCATTTTTTGCTTGATTTGTCATGAAATACCCATGTTTGTAATAAAAAAGGTCCGAATATATATTAATAATACATCATTGGACTTGTTTATGACCCAGTTCCCATGTTCATCCCATTCCAATAGGCCAAAAGTATATTTTTTTTCTTCTGAAATTAAATCGATATTGCGCAAAATCTATAATAAATGAAATATACAATAACGTTAATAACTAATAAAAAAAATTTTCGAAAGGAAAATGATATATATTCTACTATAAACCCACAAGAAAAGAGATCACCCATATACTATTCAGATCAGGGTATACAACAAAGTGTTTACTCACAAGAGAATCGCCATTCCCCCCAATCGATGTCTATAGAAACTATAAAACAATTAGAAAGGTTGGTTATATGATAGAACATATCTTAATATTAAAAAGAATTTTTAAAAAGATTAATTGAAACCAAATTATTTTTACAGTGGAAGCGGTCAAAATTTAATTATGATTGGAGCTTCTCCTTCAGCCATCACATCACCTTCCGCTTCTAGGGCTAGGCTTCTTATAATGGGAGGTGCTCCTCTAATTAGGAATAACAACTCCGATATTTCTTTAACTAACAAATCTGATTACCTATCCGACGCCCTTCCTAATCCTGAAACGTTAAAAATTTATAAGAAATTCGTAAACGGCGATATCAATTATTCCATTTGTCGAGAAAATAACACTAGTAATATCAATTCTCAACATGATCCTAGTAATGTTTATTTGAAAGGTAGAAGTATTCTTTTTTGTAGATAAATTTGATTTTATATTTTTCTTATTTTATATATGGTTAATTTCATACCAAATCAAACAACGATTCAATTCTATAACTTCAGAATTATATAAATATATTTAAGTAGGATTTTTTTAACCTAAATAAATCAAAATACAATTAAGTAAGTTGGCAGTGGTTTAAATTTTATATGCCTTTAATTGACATAGAATTTAGCAGGATGGAATTGAATAATTATATATAGATAATAGAATACAAATATATACAAAATAACTTACACTGAGGTGATGGGTCTAGGAGTTATTATGTTATTCTTTATAAAATTCGACCTAAATATAATTAAATTAATATTTAATAGTGAGAATTTTTGGTTTCTAATCTTCTTTACTAGGTTATTTTTTCATTTGAAATTGAGCTGCAAGAAACGTATGATATTTTTATAAATTAAGTTGCTTATATAATAAATAATACAACCATGGTAAGAAAATAAAGAACCTATTATATACATCAACCTACCAAAATAAGAATATAATAATTAGATTATTTGTATTCGTGCAAATATTAAATCTTTATTAGATTTGATTCGAGGATTTAATTTTTCCATTCCAAATTTAAAAATTATTATATAGTTTTGTAATAATTATTCCTCCCAGATAAAAGATGAATTATTAAATTGATAATAATAAATTGTCTATTGTATATTTATCTGATAAATATTAATTATACATATTTTTGAATAGATTCAATTTAAAGCATTATTCAAATTTTGTTTGCTTTCTCCCATATTTAAATTAGAGGTCGGCACCACCTTAAACAGGGTAAAGAATTTCAGGCTGGCTTGGACATATTCTGCAAGATATTTTTATTAGCCGGACCGAGGTTTTGAAAATGTTTTACTGATTATGAGTAGGCAATTATGTCGTTTTTCCTTCATGAAAAATTCTGGCACAACTTGTATAAAATATATGATATAAATAATTACAAGCCACGCCACAAAACCCGATAAAAGATTTTCAAGGCCCGTTCCCCGCCACCTATTCCAAATCAAATAAATTAATTATTGAAATATTATTGAGCTATTTAAGTTTATCACGGTTTGCAATAAAAAGGTTGAAATAGGAAATAAAAGGTTCCAGATCCTCTACTAGGAACATATTTTAATAGTATCGTTTAAAATATTTATGAATATTATAAAAATTACTTTTAATATTTTATTGAGATATAAAATTATCCAAAAACTAAAAGCATATATAGTAAAATTTATTGAACTTTAATAATAAATATGAGTAATGCATATTATAAAAATTAATATAGTGAATGTGCTGTGTCTATAATCAAAAGCTAATTATATAATCATTAAAAACTAAAATATGGTCATTTTTAATAATATATTCTCCTCGCCTTTTAATTTACAAAAGAAAGATGTCAAAACAATCTAACGATGCAATGTCATTTTTGATAGAAATTGAGGATAGGTTTACCTGTTGGTCTTCATCACAATGACTTAAAAATATTAAAGGGTGTTTTATCCTCAATATAATTATGTGCCATTCATTTTTTTAAATGTAAGAGTATGATCAATAATATTATGATAATTAATGGCGTAACTGGGGAGGGGGCAAAAGTAAGCTCATTACATCCAAATATAATATGATCACACTAAAAATATATTCTAACAGTTTTTTTTACTGAGCACGTGTCTAAATTTTGTAAAATTGGCATTTTAGCACGCCTAGATAAGAGCTAGTAACACCACTAAATAATAGTTTACAATATTTTTTTATATAGTACAGGGTTATGTTTTATATTTTTTTTATGATAATAAATTTTACCATGTAATATCCTTCTACATTAGCTCTACCTCCTTCATCGACCACAAATAGCAAGAAGAAAAGCTTAAAAGGAAGTTTAGTTAATCGTCTGTTTGGAACTGGTAACAATTCTTGCGCGTCTCAAAAAACTATTACTCGTCAGGGTGCCCTAATTTCCTCCATATCATCTGCTCCTTCTATCGTTTATACCTCTCATCATTCTTTGACCTCAGCTCATGGTAATTGAATGCCATTTAAAATGAAATGCTAATTTACTTTTATTCAAAAGTTTAATCTTGGCCATTTTTAAAAGAACAATTTTATAATTTGCCTCTTTTTTTATGTTTTCATATTACTTTCTGATGTCTAACGAAAATTTGTTTTTATTTCTTTTAAATTGATAAAACCCCCTCCTTAATTTTCCACTCCTGTTTCTATTAAATTATCTCAATAATTTATTCTTAAATTTATGCGTGAAAAAAACCTAAAAATCCTAAGAATAAACACTACTATGGTGACTTATTTTTTTTAAAAAACGTGAGGTTTTCCAAGGACATTGCAAGTTCACAAATCAACTTAGTACTTTACTAAACAATAGCATAACCTTAGCGCATAGTGAAAAGAAACCTCATTATATTTATACCTAATTGATTTTGAATCGCATATTTAAGACTTAGCCCAAAACATGCCATTATAATTTAATTTTTCTTATAACTAGTTTTTGTTTTGACTAAAGAAATGAATCGATAAATTAGTAATAACTAATCAGTAGTCTGTAAAGTAACATCGAGTAACGGCGTTACCTTTTTGAGGAAAAGGAAGCCATTCGTTACTTGCTTCAATTTTTTTTGAGTGATGGTGACTCAAAGTCTCTTGGTTTAAATTTTTTTCATAAAGATTATATTTTATTATATATTTTTTTAAATTTAATAAATAATTTAGGCCGAGTTTTTAATTCCGATCAACCACCTAATTTTTATTTTATTTATTAAATTTTTTGTTAAATTTTATACAGTCTAGATGTTATTAATCTAATTAATATTGTAGCAATCAAGGTATGTTAATTTATAATTTATTTTATAAGGAATATATGTCACTAGTACTTATTTTTTCCTCAGATGAAGATGTTTTAACTCTGCTCTGACCTCCCTATGAAACATTTTACACAAATAAGAAGATTAAGGGCACTAAGTCTACTTTGTAAGTGTAAATTGTGCCCTAATTCAAATATTTGAACCTCGATGTCCAGCAGCTCAAATCTAAAACATTAATGAATTCTGATAAAGATAAAAAAAATTGACGAGGATTTGAATGAAGATTTCTGTGAAGATGATCCATAAGATTTTTTTATAATAAAAATCATTCTTTAAATATTTTTTAATAAATTCCTCCGATTAAAGATTTATTTATTTAATAAATATAATAAAATCCTCGAAAGCTCTCTCTTGTTTATCTGGTCAAAATTTTGAAAATCAATTCTTAAAAATAGATAAGAAATTATTACAAAAAGAACTTATCTTACGATATATTATTTTTGTATAATTTTTTACTATGGAAAAAAATAAATAAAAGGAAAATTTATATATAATATGTAGTATTTAAAAAAATTTTTGAATAGCGAGTAACGCTTTCCCCTTTTTACTAGGTAATGACTAATGGTAGCGCTTTCCTTTTTTAAACGCAATGAATAAAGCATTTGTCTTATAACATTACATACTGGCATGCCCAGATTTTTAGTGCCTCTATATAATTTTCATACTGGTTATCATTGCAACTTCTTATCTTACCGCTTTCCTTTCTCAAAAGAGTTGAAACACTATTTTGTACTTTTAATATTGATATAAGCTACAGAATTATTGCAACCAGAAGTTTGGCTGATCTAAAAATAAGGTTATATTCTGTGATTTAAATATTAATGAGAATCTGTATTTTTTATCAAGAAAATGAAAAAGATGCAAGATTCTTTTTAGAACTTAGATACAGATACTAGTATTTTATTGTGTCAAAAAGATGCTGAGTACAAGATGCAAAAGGATCTTTTATATTAGATACAAGTATTCGTGGTACTGCCCAACTTTGCATCTGAGTCATATCGAATATCGATTCAGGTGTTCCCTTAAAAAATATTAGGAAATATTGAGTTGACTATTTTTAAGATTCGCATATTTTATAATCGAGAAATAACAACTTAAATTTTTTAGTTAATTTTCATTTATATCGATGCCGGTATATTGACTATTTTCAATTTAGTTTAAGAATCGATTGTTGCTTCATCGTTAGTTAAATTATACTAGTTCAATAATATATTATAAGCATCTTCAATGGCATATAAATTAAATTTATATAGGTTGCGCTGCAATGGCCTCGGGCTATTTAAGGCTCTACCTAAACATTTTTAGAGACCAAAAAGATAATAATAGTGGCGGAAGGTTGAATTATTTTACTAAAGGCCTGTTGAAAAATAATTTGGTTATATATAATTGTGTTAATAAAAACAAATATAGAATCTAAATATTTTTTCCATTCAAAACGAAACTTTTCATTTGTTTTTTAATAGGCCTTGTTAATTGGATATTAAATTTAGATTACAATCAAACAATTACTATGATGTTTCGAATGTCAAATTTTTCATGATGGAAATTTTTTTTAATAGTAACGATGATAACATCTTTCACATGTTCCACTCTACCTCGGGTCATGAGCATATCCTCTAACAAATTACTTTCAACTTCATCCTCCTCCATAACTAACACAAGTGGCCTTGTTCCTCCTAACCACGATTCATCCGTATTTTCAGAAGATCCAGCCAATTCTCCTTCCTTTTCACCTTACCACCCGGCATGCCCAGGCGATTATGATAGACGCAAAAACAAAAAGTTTATATAATAAATGTCATTTCCGATTTTTTAAATTAGAGCGTTTTCTTTTTGCGTTGTATTTCAAACAATGAATTTTAACTGGTAGTGTGCTAATTGATCGCCCATTTTTTCTTTAAAAAAACGTAAATTGTTTGTTTTTTACATTCAAAAATAATTTCACTTCAATTTAAACAACGTAGCTTTTCTTTAGAAAAATATAGCGGTTAACGATTTTACTCAATTTGTAAGCACTATAACGTAGAGAATAATCTTTTAGATAAGTATAGGAATTAAGTTAAGCACTATTAAGAGAATATATAACGGATACGAACAAAAATTATATTTAACCACCATTAATATATTTAGATATGAATTATTAGCCGAAGCTATAAAAGCAGGAACGCCCTTTGCATTATGGAACGGCCCCGCTATAGTTGCTTGGTTAGAGGTAATACAACAAAATTTCGAAAATTATAAATTTACCGATATCCAGCTTCCATCTGCTAAATATTTTATAAATATTAGTTTATTTTTAAAACATGGGTAAGCGCAACTCATAAATTAGAACTGTTAACCCTCGTTCTAGAGGTTCGGGTTGAAAAGATCTATTAATGGATTTCGATTTTGAAGTTCAGAAATATATTGGTTATATTCAACGCTCTTTGAATATTATATTTGTCATACAATATTATAACTTTCCTACATTTGATATTATATTATTGAGGTCAAAATTGCATAATATTAGAAGTTAAATATAATTAAAATACTAGATATAGAAAAGAATTTAAAATAAAGATACCGATTGTTTTGACTATAAAATAATATTGGCGACGAAATAAAAAAAATGAGGTCTTCGGTCAAGTTAAATATTAAATAGAATTGTATACTTTTTTTGTTAAAAAATAAATAAATAATAGATCTGTTTAGAAATTATGGATAAAATTATATTAAATGATTTCAAAAATGATGAATGTTCTCTCGACGACTATATAGACTACATCAATTATATTCTGAATGTTAAAAATATTCCTCAAACTGACGCCACTTTGAAAAAATTATTTATAGCTTATGGAGGAATAAATATTATAACTGATATATAAAATTACTGATTCCAAGAAAAATTGATGATGTGGTATGGGCAGATTTATATAAAATTGCAAAACAACTTTATAAATATGAAAGAACTGTTTTGGCATCTAGAATTGTTTCATTAAGTCGCGGACCAACAGAATCCGTAATGAGCTATTTAAAAAATGTAAAAGAACTAGCCCGAAGATGCAAATTTGAAGATAAGTAGAACTTAGAATTCGCGATCAATTAATCGCTGGACTAAAGATGAACTAGATAAAGATCTACGTTTAAAATACCCAGATACTAGAGACGAAGACCAACCGTTAAGCTTAAACAAGGTTATAGAAATTGCTTTAGCAATGGAACTGGTATTTTATATTTGGATTCTGACTTAGAAATAAATAATACTACTAAAATGGTTTATAAAATTAAAGAGACGACCAAATATAATAATAATAAAAAACTAAATCAAAATGATAATAATAATCCACAGTATAATGATAATCTACACTATCAAAATGAAAATAAAACATACATAAAAAGAGAACCAGTGCAAGATTATAATAACTACCACAAATAATAATAATACAAGAAAACTATGCTATTTTTGTAATCGTTTTCATTCCCTTCGAAATTGACCAGCATATAGAAAAACATGCAGCAAATGTAGGAAACCAAACCACTTTGCAGTGTATTGTAAAACTAGAGAAAAAGTTTACTGTACAGACTACAATAATAACGACGAAGATTCAATTTCTCAATAAGAAAAGTCAACAAATATGGTCAGCATCCAACAATTATGGTATTAATAAACAACCACCAAATTAAAATGGAATATGATACAGGTTCGGCGGTAACCATCATTAGTGCAACAATATGAAAAAAATAGGGAGGCCAAAACTTAGCATGGTTAGAGCTCCAACTAGATATGAAAACAATACAATAAAGGGCGAAGCTTATGTAAAAGTTCAATTAGAGATAAAATAAAATGGCTTCCGTTATTAGTTACAACAACAAATGATGCAGCACTATTTAGATTTCCATGGAGTATAGAATTTGCTTTATCGTTACCAACAAATGTAAAAATCAATATGATCAACAATAAATATAATGATAATGGTAACGTGAATATTCACAAACTTTATAAAGAATTTGCTACGGTGATAATTAGGATTAATAAAAAATTTCGAACCAGTAAAATAAAATTGGGAGAAAATACAAAACCAATTGCACTACCAGCTTGATGCCTTTAAAAGTAGAAATTGAAAATGAACTGAAACGTTTTAAAGAAAATATCCTAATAAAGAAAATAGATCCTTCAACAACAAGAGTAAACCTGGAGTACTCCTATGGTAATGGTATGTAAAACTTCAGATGAACTACCATTATGTGGAGATTTCAAAGTAACATTAAATAAATTTTACTAAAAGACTATCATATTCTACCAACGTTTGAAGAATTAATCGCAAAGATTGCTAATGGAAATAAATATACAACATTAGATCACAAAAACGCATATCTACAAATGAGCATAGACGAAGAATCGCAGGAATTATTAACAATAGTTACACCAAATGGATAATACCGCTATTTACGATTACCTTTTGGTATAGCTAGAGCACCAATAATATTTCAACGATATATGGACGATTTACTGGCTGACTGTAAAGATAAAGCAGTTTATTTAGATAATGTTATAATCACAGGAAAAAATGATACAGAACATATAGAGAATGAAAAACAAGTCCTCAAAAAATTACAAAATGCGGGATTAAAAGTCAAAACAAGCAAAATAAATTATATGAAATAAAAAGTATCATATTTAGGATACATAATTGATCAGAATGGAATACACCCAGATAAAAACAAAATAATAGCAATACAAAAATATCCAACTCCAAAATATAGACATGACATAAAATCATTTTTAGGTATATTAAACTAACATACACGGTTCATACCTAACTTACATAGAATTATAGCCGAATTACATATAAAACTAGTAAAACTGTCAAATGGAATTGGACTAGATACATTATTTGAAAAAGTAATAGTAACAGAACAAAATACTATACAGTTTTATAAACCGGACCTCGAGTTAATATTAGAAACAGATGTATAACCAAGGATTTGGAGCTGTACTCATGCAAAAATATGATGAATGGTAAAGAATTTCCAATAGCTTACACCTCAAAAACTTTACAAGACGCTGAAAAGAATTATTCTACAACAGACAAAGAAGCAAAAGTAATAATAAACTGCGTAGAAAAATTTCATAACTATTTATATGGACGAAAATTTAAAATACGAACAGACCACAAACCTTTAATAAAGATATATGGTAATAACAGAGATTTAAGCTCATTAACAAACCAAAGATCATTACGTTGGGCTTATAAATTATCTGCATATGATTATGATTTATTATACAAGAATGGCGCTAATAATACAATTGCAGATACTTTATCGCGAAATCCAATAGAGAAAAATGATGATAGAATAACAAGCGAAAATAAAACAGTGAAATATATAAGAAATCTTACTTATGACGCATTAACTCTATCTAGAAAAGAATTTAGAGAAAAAACCACAAAAGATCCAATTTTAAGAAGAATAAATAAAAAATCAAGCACCAGAATTACAAGTTTTTAGATCAAGAATACATGAAATAGAAAATGATGATGGTATTTTATTTTGGAATGGCTGGTTAATCATTCCGTACTCACTTCACAAAAGAGTATTATATATATTGCATACTGGATATCCAGGGATTACATCATTGAAATTCATTACGAGACATTATATATGGTGGGAATAATTAGATAAAAATGTCGAAAAACTAGTAAACAGCTGTAGTGGATATCAAAAACAATCAGAGATATACCAGGGGTTGCCGTATACCAGGAATTCGCCATCACAACCCTGGAAAAGGGAAGAAGAAAAAGAAAAAATTGCAGGAAAACACACCGACCAACTACGAACAAGGGAAGAAGCAGTTGAAACTGAATCAATAAAAATATATAACAATATAAAGTTAGAAGAAGATAAAATAAAACCAAGTCAAGAATGAATTCAACCTCGATATCAAAAGAGGGAACGAAAGCCAACAAAAAGATTAATTGATGAATTTGAACTTGGTGATTTATTCAAAATAATAGAAACATAAATTTAAAATTTATTTTATTTTTAATTAATGGTAAGATATATTTTATTTTCCTTTAAGTCTATGTCGGTTCTTTATAGGACTAATTTCTTTTTCAAGAAAAATTTAACTTGGAAGGGTTACTATAATTAGCCGTTTTGCTTGATGGGCAGGTTAGGCAGAGTTACTAACAGCTAATTAATGTTTATTATATATTCTAACGCACATATATTCTGCTTCTCAGAGATATCGATTTACATCAAAAATTTATTATATCAGTTCAAACAACTTAATTATTACTACCCGGTAGAAATCCTAGTTCCTTTATATCACAAGTTTCGTCTAATTTATTATTCATAAGATACTCTTGATATTGGGGAGTTATTAAGAGGATTGTGGCAGTTATATTGAATTTTTTATACTTATTTAAACATGTTTTTAATTTTTTCTTCTTCTAATGAAGTAGATATTAGACCATAACACAATTGAATAATATGCTTATAAATGTAGTTCTTATTATTTATCAGAGACCTGCAGGCCCGGCCCTAAACCCGGGCCGGGTCGTATTTTAAATTTTTTAAATATACCCGGGCCGGGCCTAAAATAAATTTTTTTTATCCAGGCCGGGCCTAAAATTTTTTTTTAAAATATATCCGGGCCGGGCCTAAGATTGTTAAACCCGGGCCGGGCCTAAGATTGTTAAACCCGGGCCGGGCCTTAATATTTTTTATAAAAATTTTTACATTATGAGTTAATGGTTATAAGATTATATTATATTATAGTTATGATTAATATAATATTGGGTGATGGTTAACAGTGCCTAACACCCACAGATCGATCTAATTATTAATTTCCTGCAAATTTATTCAAAGTATTAATATATTTTTTTATAATTCATATCTAAATTTTACAACATATTTTACCAAAACAATCAAATAAAGGAATATCTTAAATAAGCCCCCTATTCAAGTATTATTAATATATTTTTTTTATAATTCATATCTAAATTTTTAGAATATATTTTACCAAAACAATCAAATAAAGGAATATCACTTCTTGAAGTTTGTAATACCTTTCAAAGCGAAAAAGGAGAAATAAAATTGTTTTTAATTGAAAAATTTGTTTTACACAAGTATCATTTTATTTCTCTTTTTCTCTGTCCCAAATTCAAGCAATTACGTATGTTGTCAGGGACAGATCGCAAGATGACGGAAAACTATATAAAAGATTATATT